CAGAATGGCAGGCAAACATCAACAACCTGATCTTCCTTCCTGGTATTGTACTTTTACTAACTGTACTATAAAGTTCTCACCGGTGAATGACACATGATGTATTGTAGTAATGTTGTCTCTGGTCGTCCGATCCGTTCACGTTCATGCGTTCAGGAAACGTTGCTTTGGACTGCAATTTGCAGGGAGGGTGGGACGTTCGCTTTCAGTGCTGTAAAGGAGGTTAGGTTTTAGGATTTAGGGAATGTCTGGCTTGAGTCCAGCAGGGGTGTCTACAAGAACACAGAGTCCAGTAATACAATGCCATATGACCACTTTATTTGTCCATTAAAGATTAACAAAAATACAACAGATCAAATCAAATGAACCATACTAAGGTTACAAAGTCAAAGATACACAATATGAACAAAGAAACAAACTTACATTGCTCATGTATATGCATTAGCTACAGGAGTTGTGCCTATTTTCGACCCCTGCACACCTAAACAGCTCAGATAATGATTGTCATTTCTGCATTTGTTCCCGACAATTGTTGGAATATGATGGATCACTAAGTGAATTAATGACTGGTTGGATTGTTATGGGTCATTATAGGGGGAAATTTGAGTCGTTCTTGTAAGCTGCAGTCACGGCATCTTTGTCGGCAGACTTTGCTTTCAAACAGCATTATGCCTGCTGAGTATTTTTACTTGAACCGTCTCTATGTGTGTGTTTGAGTGTGTGTGTGTGTTCAATTTAATTTGTTTTGGAAGCCGAGTAGCTCATGTCTCTGCCCTTCCCCCATCTCTCTCTCTCTCTCTCTCTCTCTCATGCCCACTGTCACTCTCTTTTTCTTCATGAAACACCCTCTCCTCTCTTCTGCTCTCCTCTCCTCATTTTAAAGCAGAAATACATCATGTGTTTTATTCAGGACTGTCTGGCAGGCTCTTAGTTGTATGAGCATCTGTTCTGATTTGTTCTTGTGTGCAGCACAGGGATTGAGTTGTTAATCAGTGCATTGTTAGCTTTTTTATTGTCTGGTTAATTTTAAACTAATATCTTGTCCAAAGGAGAAACTAATATATATTTACACAGGAAAGAATGCAAACAGACGTTACTTAGGAATATAGCAGGTTCCAAACGCAAATGGTTAGACGGATAGTTCCACCCAACATTCTAATTCTGTCATCATTTACTCACCCTCATGGCATTCCAAACCTGTATAACTTTCTTCTGTGAAACATGAGTAGATATTTTGTATAATATTTAAACTGTTTTGGGTTTTACAGTGAAAGCCAGTGGGGTCTATACAACACTGGACCCCATTGAATTTCATTTTATGGACATATACTGGCACGTTTTTCACTTCTTTACAGGTTTGGAATGACATGACGGTGAGTAAATGATGACAGAGGATGTTTCTCAATTCTAAGAACGCAGACAACGGGCTCGCATTCTCATGGAGACCGGTCTTACCAGGCTACCCTTAAAGAACAAACTCAGAATGACACGAGGACACAGAACGCATCTTTGTGAGAATGGAGATGTCTTGTTGCTCATCTGGCCATCCTAGCACATATTAAATAGCAGGACAGCACCACCCAATGCACAATAATATAACATAACATCACAGATGTCATCATAACTAATTAAAACATTTACTTGCATTATTTTTTTTGATTATTTTATCTCTTTTTATTTTGCTGCATGTATTTGTGTTAATTGTGCTTTGTCAATGTTAATATTCTTTTTAATATGCCACTAAAAAGTACTGCAGGCTTTCTTCAGGTCTTTATCACTTTATTAAGATTACGGCAAACAAAATGACATGTTTACTTTCACAGGCAGTCAGGCATTTTTTTGCATGCATGCAACAGAATGTTTAACACTAGAAGTTTAAGCTTACAAGCTTCCGGATTTCGAACGGTTTGCTTCTCTCGTCTGTATTTGATGCATCCTCGATATCAAGAACACATCTGGGTACTCTGTGTTCTTGAGTGTTGGAATTGAACTTTGACCTTTGAGGATGACGTACTACGAGAACACAAGGGTGCAAGGTCGTGTAACAGCTGGACCGATCAGACACACAATTATTAGTTATATATAACAAATAATCTTTAAAACCCACTCTGTGAGTTCCACGAACCATCCTCTGAAAGTGCAACTATCACTCCAGGAGGGCTCAGTTACCAGGGCTACCATCTGATAAGACTCTTTATTGCTAAAAAGTATGTGGAAAAATGCCATGTGCACTGTGAAAGACAGACACAGGACCATAGAATGGACCATTTCTCCACATAAATTCATAGACAGACCATTCTATGAATAAACATGCATATTCCAGAACATTGTGTCTTCACTTGAGACATGTACAATCATTTATCCTATGTAATCATATGTTCTTTTATAGTGTTTTTCCTATATATTAAACCTTCAATGAATGTTGTAGTATTACTTAATTAACCAATATCGCACATATGCCTGCTTGGTATCTGTGAGCTTCAAATTACATTTCCTATTTGTTAATTTACATTACATTTAGCTAACTCTGTGACACATTAGTATTATAAGAATCTTTAAGATTCTTCTCTTGAACAGCCAATTCAGTTTCATATGCAAAACACCCTGCTAGAAGACAAAGGATCATAAAATTTCCCTCCAAAGTTTCCATTCCTCATTGGCTCACTCAAATCCCGAGGGTGTGACATCTTCACACTTTAAAGATCACTAATCACAAGATCAGGTGCGTTTTTAGATTTTTGAGAAGATGAGGATGCTGAGCTAGAAGTCTTCTAAGGACCCCCAAGTTTGTGCCAGGCTGCGGCCTTGTCTTTCCATTCATCAAAGATTCTCAGACTTCTCTCATCAAGAAAAAAATCAGCCAAGATCAACTGGAGCCTCAACACTTTTATTCAAATGGGCAAGACATGCAAGTATCAAACTTTTAGTCTCATTGTTTGATCCATTAAAGGGTTAGTTCACCCAAAAATGAAAATTCTGTCATTAATTACTCACCCTCATGTCGTTTCAAACCCCGTAAGACCTTCGTTCATCTTCGGAACACAAATTAAGATATTTTTGATGGAATCGGAGAGCTGTCTGACCCTGCATAGACAGCAACGCAACTGAAATGTTCCCAAGTCCAGAAACGTAGTAACGAGATCTGTAAAATAATCCAGGGTGATGCGGAGGAGATTAATTGTTGAATAAAGTCGGGGGTTTTTTTCTTTTGCGCATAAAAAGTATTCTCGTAGCTTCGTATAATTGCGGATGAACCACTGATGTCACATGGATTATTTTACAGATCTCCTTGCTACGTTTCATATGCCTGCTTGGTATCTGTGAGCTTCAAATTACATTTCCTATTTGTTAATTTACATTACATTTAGCTAACTCTGTGACACATTAGTATTATAAGAATCTTTAAGATTCTTCTCTTGAACAGCCAATTCAGTTTCATATGCAAAACACCCTGCTAGAAGACAAAGGATCATAAAATTTCCCTCCAAAGTTTCCATTCCTCATTGGCTCACTCAAATCCCGAGGGTGTGACATCTTCACACTTTAAAGATCACTACCCTTTTAAAGAAGGGTGTGTTAGAACTAAGAAACTGATGGTTTGCTCAAGGCTGTTGATCTGCCAAATCTCAAACAATACTATAACTTCTTGCATTCCTGTACGCTGCTCAAGTTCTCTTTCCATTGCTAACTGTATGCATGTGTGTATGTGTTAGAATAGTTTGTGTTTAGTGTAGTTATTAAAGTCTTGTTTGTATCACACTCAAGGTTGTATGTTGTTTTGCCCATAACTGGAGTCCCTAATAATGCATATTTTAGCTACATGCTCTGAATAGTATTGTACAATAAGGAGGTTATTTCCCATACCCCGTAAATAAACATTTCTTAGAATGAATAAACAATTAAGTTAACACGGTGTTCGCTGGGCGAACATGTTTGTTGATTGTAATATTAATTCCATTAGCTGATCCAAATATTTGTAATTAATTATAACAAGTTATGATTAATTATGAATATTTGCCTTTTGAGCTAATTTGTTACAGTTGCATAAAAACGCATATTGAGAAATGACAAGACTATTCATTTTTGGGTGAACTGGCCCTTTAATCTCACCAGGAAACACACATCAGTCAAACTGGACAGCATGTGTTAATTTGCCATTCTGGAGAAGAATGGTTTATTATTAAGAATGTTAGTGTGTACATTGCCTGTCTTTGCTCTGCATTGTTTGCCCTCTTCTGTTTGGTTTTTCCCTCTCGTTTTCAAGCCTGTGGAATGTGACACTTCCGTTGTGTTTGTGTGTGTTTGGGGCTGCTCCTGCATATTTCATAGCTTAGACCATTACTGAACTATCCTAGCCTGAGGGAAAGCGCGCACGTGTGTGTGTGAGAGATGTGTTTGTATTTGAGTGTGTTTGGGTTTGTGTGTGCCTTCAGATGTGTGTATCAGTGTCTGAGCTGCGAGTATGTGTTTGTGTGTTTGCCCAGTAAACAGTTTGGCCTATGCAAATGAAGTGTGTTTGGCGCTGGAAGTGTGATGCTGTGATCACATCCCTTCTAAAGTTGCATTTATTTAATCAAAACAGTAAAAACCGTAATATTGTGAAATATTATTACAATTTAAAATATGTTTTCTGATTGAATTTATTTTGGTCTATAAGAATTTTTTTTTTACTATCAGTGGTGAAAACAGAAAACAAAATTTAAACAAAAAAATATACATTTTATATATAAAAATATATATATTTTTAGAATTCTATGATAAATAGCAAGTTCAAAAGAACTTGCATCATTTACAACAAAACAATGCAAATGCCTTTACTGTAACTTTTGATCAATTTAATGGATCCTTGCTGAGTAAAAGTATCAATTTCTTAAAAAAAGGGGGAAAAAAAGAAAAAATCGGTTACACTTTATTTTAAGGTGTCGTTGTTACAGTGTAATTATATATTTAAGTGCTGAGTAATTTAAATTAACTACATGTACTTACTAGGAATGCTCCGATCGATGGCCGGAGATCGGTATCGGCCGATTATCACATTTTGTGATGTCAAACTTCAACGGCTGCCGTTCTACGATGTTCTGGATGAGCTCATTAAACCTACGAGTCTTGGTGAGTTTTTGAGATTTTGATAGTGAGGTGAGTGTATGTTCATGCACATTTTTAGTGGTGTGTTTTTTGTGTAGATCTGTGTGATGTACGGCAACTGTAGAGATGCGCAGACCCATTTTTCCCTACATTAGCATTTTAATGATGTTGGCTGGTTTTCACTAACTTGGCCGATCTCACAAACCGATCGCAATTTGATGACGACAACGCCTGACGACGTACATGATGCGTGGGGACATAAATGATTTGGCGCCACAGTCATGTCATCGCCGGTGTGAAAATGCTATGACGTTTCGAGAAAAAATGAAACATTTGTTATTTGTTGTGTATGTTTTGCATGATGATATGATGAATGGATGGTTCATTTTTAACAGCAGATTCAGTGACGTTAGAGCTGATCTGCGCCTCACTGCACGCGTCTAGCGGCGCGTTACGGCTCCATGGGAACCGGAGCTGATCGTGGCCGCTCTAATGCTTGTGTTTCTGAAGCGGCTCTCCACGCCTGGAATCACTCATGAAATACAGTTAAGTGCAAGATGTGCAGCGCCAGTCTGTCTTATACATAACATTACAATGAGAACACGATTGTTATAGAATATTGTAAATTCTCTGTGCTTTAGTTGCCCATTGTTCAGCGCGCTGTTAAGGGGAAGAGCACATCCACAACGAGTTACATCAGACTAGCACCGTAGCACGGTCATCATTTATGATTTATTTTATCCACCCGCGATCCACCCGCAAATAATCAGAGTGCATTTTTTATTACTCGACTGGCGGATCATCCGCAGCGCCCGTGGATATAGGAAAAGCAAAATATGTTTGCTGCATAAATCAGATGGATTTACTGAAAATGCAAATTCATTCTCTGCCAGCAGGAGGTGCTTTAAAGCGGCGATTTAAAGCACCTCACAAACGCTGCTTTTTCAGGCATATAACATGCAAGATGAAATGAAATGACATTGAAAATTTTCTAAACATATTCTTCCTTCAGAAATACAGTGATATAAAAACACCCGCGCCTCATTTTGATTTTTAAACGTGCAGTAGGCCTACGTGCTCATGTTTATTCAACGAAGCCTTTTAGAAAATCAGTCAGAAAATTCTGAAAAATAGGCTAAATGCCATAGCCAGACTGATAAACAAACACAGACCGGAAGTTAACTTGTTAACTCCCGATGAAACAGTCTATATAAAGCTTGAAGCATCAGAATTGGTATCGGCCGATCACCATGACAAGAAATCGGTACTCAGTATCGGCTGCAAAAATCCTGATCGTAGCATCCCTAGTACTTACTATATGGTTAGGGTTAGGATTAGGGTTTGCTTGGCTTAGGGTTACTTGCATGTAATTATGCATAATTAATTGTTATTATAATAGTAAGTACATGTAACAAGGACACCTTAAAATAAAGTGTTACCACAAAATCTTACTGACCTGATCGTTTTTACCCCCACGTAAAATATGGAAAAATTTTGTTTTACTTGCAGCTTCATGTACAGACTGCTGAGACCCACCATGACTTTGTTCTGTATATTTTACTTTGGTAGCTTTGTTTCAAGAATGTTTTGACACAGTTCTGGAGAAATGGAATAAAAGAAAAAAAAAGACTTTTGGTTTCACAGCTAAATGTAATGGTAAACCTTCCACTAAGGTGAAAGTTGTTAGAAGACATGTGACAGTCATTAAGCTTTTCTTTAGCTGAATCGCTAGTGTTGCTTACTTCAGTGGTGTTCGACTGTTTCTTTGTTCCTCAGGAATGAGTTCTGGACAACAGTAAACATACACAGATGAGTTCCAGACTGTGCCAGAGCACTCACTGCTAAACACAAATGACTTCTAGAACTATAGGTTTTACTAACAAAAGATGCATATAGTGATATAATTATTTTGCAGCAAACAAACACTCATCAACTTTACTCATAAATGCACAAACCTATGAAGCTTCATTAAATACATCCATCCCACAGCACATGTATAAAATATCAGCCTGCTGATAGATAGACTATTGTGCTAAAAAACATCTAAAGTCAGAGCAAAAAGTCTGCTCTGGGACTTCTTTAAAATGCTTGAACGTGTCCTTGCCTGTGTGTATTTCAGCTTGAGCAAATGAACTAGACTCAAGGTGTTACAATTTTTCAATTTAATGCTGCAGGTAAAGGTAGTGATGTTACCGTTAATATACCCTATCAATTTGCTTTCTCTCTCTGTTTTTTAAAGGCCATATTGATTTTGGCATTAGATTTTGTATTAGAGTAATTCTTTTAAATGTCTTGAGTTCAGATTCATGTTCTCAGAGGTGTAAATAGGTGCTTGGATCACACACCATCTGAAACATTTCAGTTTGTCATATAGGTTTTCGTTGCACTTGTGAAAGGTGACAGACAACACAATCCCAGCGGTGCTAGCATGACAGTATGGCCTTTTAAAGAGAGCAATTTACTAGCCTTTCTGTATAATAAAGTAAAGTGTAAATGTAGATATGTGTAGATGGTTAGATATGTGGTTAGTCATTAACACGAACTAAATAAGCCTACACCTTCAGTCTGGGTATAAAACAATGATGTGTTTGATCAGTTTGTGCATATTTGAATTTTCATTAAGCTTTATTGAATCATAGATTACATTCCAGTGGCATCCAGTCTCATTCATTGCAAGTGCTTAGAACCATTTTAGCAGTTGTGTGCTCATTGGTCTCTTGGAACAGGCCTGTAGGTTTGGTATTTATATGGTTAGACACCATTTTATTTAATATAGCTGATTTTGTTTCAAGCTAAATGTTTGTATGATGATGTTGTATATGAAATGTTATATAATGTGTCTATAGCATGCCTGTTCTCTGTTTGTGTTCTTTGTTAGAAGAGTTCTGTGTCTTGATTCTCTTATTTGCCTTTGCTTAAAAGTAATAATTAATCATGTTAAAACACACCCTGAATGTGTTTTTTTTACTTTAAACCGCATAAACACATTTCATTACACCAAGTACACAAAATAATGTTCTTTTTAGCAACATCATATGACCCCTGTAAAACGGAAGGAGGAAAAACTCAGTTTATAAAAATACCCGTGTACGTGTGGACATGGCCTAAGTCCTCTTGAAAATAACCTACTTATAAATTCGGAAAATGTTTAGGTAATTTTCGTCAAAATAAAGTGAACTCAATGGACACTTTTCTCTTTCCATGCATGCACTACCTAAGTTTGGGATCTGCAAAACAAAAATAAGATAAATAAAAATGTAGTAAAACAGTAATATTGCAAAATATTATTATTATTATTGTTATTGCAATTTAAAATGACTGTTTACTATTCGAAAATGTTAAAATTTATTCAATTAATAAAAATTTTGCTCCAGAAACATTTCTTATTATTATCAGAGATATAGAAAGTTTAAAAGAACAGCATTTACTTGAAGTAGAACATTTTGTAACTTGGTAAAAGTGTTAACTGTTGCTTTTGATCAATTTAATGTGTCCTTGCTGGTAAAAAGTAATAATGTCTTTCATAAAAAAAAAAAAATCAATCAACAATTACCCTCGCACACCTGTAGGTGATCAATATGTACGTAGGATAAACGACCAAAACAGGTAGAACATCAAAGCAAAAAAGAATAAATCCCGCACACTCTCAGTACTTGCGAATGTATCAAAAATAGAGTTATTCACAACTTTTTGGTGCAATGATCTTAATCAGCCAACACAATCCAATTTAAAAACAAAAACAGATAGTGTGTGGGATTTATTCTTTTTTGCGT